CCCGGTGGTGGCCGAAGAGGTTGCAGCGCCCCCAGAGGCGGCCGATGAAGCTGCAGCGCCCCCGGTGGTGGCCGAAGAGGTTGCAGCGCCCCCGGAGGCGGCAGACGAAGCTGCAGTGCCACCCTCTCGGAAACGGAGGAGGAGGAGGAAGAAGGCTTCTTCCGTCCTTCAAGACCGGGAGGCCTCCCTAGAGCCTGGTGCCCTGCCAGCGCCGCCGCCCAAGTTCCTCGCCCTGCCCAAGCTCAAGCTTCACGCCCTTGAGTCCTCGCTTCATCTCCCCGCACGCACCGTGACACCTTGCAGCTCCAGTTTGAAACTCCTACATAAAGTACTATGGCATTCCAAAATACACCATCTGTTTCCAGATTCTGTCTCCATTTATCTGCATCGCCTGTTAGTCCGTCTTCCACATCTACTGCTATTATTTGCAAAGTATCAGAGTATGTCCTTCATGTTGTCATCACTGGTGTTGAGGGACAGATGAATGTATATGAGAGTCACATACCCAGCGCTCACACCAGAGAGAGCGGTACTGATTTTTCATTACGATGACATCACAGTCCCAATTAGACAGCGTCTCCCACATAAGAGTCTGAATGATCATCACTTCCCATCACTCCTACATGCTGCAGTGAGGTTTACTAGTGCTTTTTGCTGTGAGCTTGTGAGTACTCTGTTTACTGTTGAACTATTAACCTCTGTCTCTCTCTCCACCAGACGGCTGAACGACAATGAAATCTCCATCCTAGAGGCTACAGGGGCCTTCAAGAAGCTGCCAAACCTGCGCAAGATGTACGAACGGGTTTATTTCTCTTTTTCGGTTTGACTGCTGAATGACATTGGTGTAGTTGGGAAATCCAGCTTCGCTATGGACAGCAGGACAAGAAAAGCTTCTGGAATATTCCAACCTAATAGGAAAACGCATGCAGTGATTTACCGTCAGGCAATATTTGCGGCTCACTCCAAAATTGGAGAAAGCGGTATTCGCTCAGGAAGAGGACCGGTGATTTATCATGCATGAAATTGCTTACTATCTAGCACAGTTATAAATTGGGCAGATCTAAAAGCCCGACCTTACATTTTACTGAAGCACGGTTTAAAATTAAGCAGTGAATCATCATAAACGTGTGTTTAGGATACAACCACAACCTATTCATATGATGAAACAAAGACATTTGCAGTGTACCGTTGCCACCAGTGCTTTCTGCCATTTGTGACCCTGGAGCACAAAATCAGTCTTAAGTCGCTGGGGTATATTTGTAGCAATAGCCAAAAATACATTGTACGGGTCAAAATTATAGATTTTTCTTTTATGCCAAAAATCGTTAGGATATTAAGTAGAGATCATGTTCCATGAAGATATTTTGTAAATTTCCTACTGTAAATATAT